AGTCACGTGGCCTCTCTCCCCACAATCTTATCTGCCTCACCTCAGTGGTCCATCTCCAAAGAACGGCCATTGATAATCTGTAAAATAAGTGAATCAAAAATGTGGCCTCCCTGGTGGTGCAAGGGGTTAAGTGGCAGCACTAGGAAGCTGTCCGCAGTTCCATCCCTGGCCAGGTTGCTAACCCACATGGTGCAGCACACCTTTCCTGTCTCACCATTGTTCCCCTCAGCAGTGTATTTCAGTAGATCGGCCTGTTCTGCTCCCCACTCTGTCTCTGGTGGAGCCTCTCACCCGCCCCCCTCCTCTGGCCTGCACCCCAGTTCTTGTATGCATAAATATATTTTTTAAAAAATGACTACAAAGAAATGTATGAAGTGACAATATAGTTTCAAACGTCATCAGTAACCATTATGGAAGTAGCCCATAAAGTCTCCTTACATAGGGCTTCCCTGAGCCTGGACTGTATGTAGTTTTAACTGGAGCGGCCTCTTAGCTGTGCAAAATGGTTCTGATTCCTTTTAAGTAACCATAATCATTACATAAAAGTATTTACTGAAAGCTGGGCTGGACAGCAGTTGTACAATCTGACCTGGCAAATGTTCAGAAATTGCACTCCAAATTACATATTAAGGCACTAATTATCCAAATGAAACTCCAGGGGCACCTTAGGTAGATGCGGCACAGTGAATTAAGGAAGGAAATAATTAGTCACAATTGCAGGAACTAGCTCAACATACAGTGAGAGAAGGCATGCAGGCTACTTCCTGTAGACTGCAGCAGGAAGGCTTAGTAACAGTTTGTGCAAAAACACAAGAGCAGCGCAGACAGTAAGCATAATTTCTGCCAATGAATAAGAAAAGGACAAATCTCCATTATAAATTACAAAAATGACTTTATTTAAGTTATTTTCTGTTCCTATGTACTACATAACATTAAGACATTTTATCATGTGTTTGTACTATGACAAATAAACTTTCAAGCATTTTCTTGTCTGACAGATTTTGCCCGCATTTGATATAATCTGAACACATACAATGGAAAAAAACATACAGAAGAAAAACTGAGTAGGTACATAAGGCATAGAATTTCAACCCCAATAAAAATATTCATTAAAGAGGCAGAATTAGGTGGGAGAGGGAATGATATACAGCAGAAAGCAAAGTTATACCACATTAAAAATCATGCATAGAAACTGTTATTTAACACGACGAGAAATTAAGTTGCCCAAAGTTATATACTCCTTTTCAAGGTCTCTGTTAAATAGTAATTCCTTGGGGGTGAGAGGAGCTCTTCTCCTCAAAATGAACTTACAGATATTACCTTTATCAGGGAATAGCTCTAGGAAGAAGGGTGTAAGTGGATACCCACTTTGGAAGGCTGGTACAAACTTGTATTAGAAGCATGTCACTGAGGTCTAAATCTGTTGCAGATTTGGAGTGGCAGGTCTGGAGATGATTAAATTTTCTTACGATGTTTCTGAATGGCAAGAAAGGATGAGAAATCCTACAGACCTAAGGTGAGTATGGAACCCTACCTGAGTTGTAGAGATCCTATCAAAAATGGGAACTGCTTGTATCACATTCAGGATTAATCTGAGAATGCCAATTGAATCTTAATTTAGTGTCTAAAAGTGAATTAAAATTACATTGCCATTTACCTATTCACTGCTAAATAGTGCTGACAGTTTTGTGTCTGTGGGACCTTTGCTGGGGATTGAACTGGCGCTGCAGAGCCTCGCAACCCAGTGCTCAACCGCTGAGCCATCAGGGGAGGCCCCAATAGTGCTGACAGCTTTTATAAAGATGGGACATGAATGTTCACTGTTTAAGTAAATGTATCATTACTATTGATCAGGTATTTGATATGAAATTGAATTTGAGAGCAAAATAAACTGTAAAACGAATGGGTTTTTCTTACCATAGAATTAGGAAAATAAGCAGCAAAATTCTCTTGGGAAGAAATGATAATAAGAGAGATAAAGATGTTATTTCTTTCTTAATCTCAGAAATTATAAGATAGCATATTGTAAGAACTTGTACTTTCCTCATCCCGGGTTGTTTAAGCCCCTTTCTACAAAGATGGCATGAGGGACAGAGAAAGATTCACCTCTAAATGAATAAAATACTCATAGTGGGCATGTTTTCCGGGCCTTTCTGCTGCACTGGATGCCATGTAAATTATTAGAACACATTACAACTGGTGCATGGGGAATATGATGGCAGGATAATAAGTGGGTGAGTAATGAGAAAATTTTGCAAGTGTAAATACCAGCTTTTACTGTATGAAGACCCTTTATGTTAAAAGCAGCATTAAATACAAAACAAAACAGAAACCCAACAAAGTAATAGTTTTCTGAGGTGTGGTCTTCTTGGCAAGTTCCACTGGGATATATTTATATGCTCTGTGTCAACCAGACTCATCACACAATTGTTTGTTCTATGCCACCATTAAAACTGACCAACAAACGTAACTGCTGTGGGTGTCAAGCAGTCAGAGGAGTTATGAATACACATGGTGCTTTTATATTTACATAAGCAGTTTCTCATGAATCCTGTAGAGGTTGGAGAAAGAGAGCTAGTTGCTCCTTTTTAGCAAGAGCACTTGTAACACCAAAAGGGGTTCAGTAATATACCCCTTTTATACTGAGTGGATCAGTTAAAGGACTTTAGAAAAAAGTTAGCAGTTCATTTACCTGAGTTTCCCATTTAAAGGCTAAATAGTCATTGAATACTTTTCACTTAAGAATGTGAACAAAAACCTATGCTATTAAAAAGGGCCAGAGTCAGAAAATTTAGACTCAAGATGAAGTTTGGGACTCTTGAATTTTTATAAAATTGAATAGAAATATCTATGAATTTCCTTCCTTAGTTAAAACATAAGGTCATAGAACTATATTGATGTGCTTACTGGATGTTACCTAAACTGAGGTCAAGGGTCAGCCTGCAAAATCATTAGGAAATCAAGTCAAATTCTTTTGGAATTTTGAGCAAATTGTTACAGGTGATAAAAATCTAATTATTTAGTGATTCACTTCATTTGTGAACACATGAGATTATGAGTTAACATCAGATAAAGGCTATAGCATAAATATGATTTTTAACCTGAATAAATCCCTTTTGAAGGGTGATGTACAAAATAAATATAAATTTCATCCAGAAAAATAGCACACCCAGTGTTTTGCAAGTGGTTAGCTAAGCTTACCTATCAACAGGATGTTGTCATGCTCAGCATGGACAATTGGGTGTTTTGTTTGTTTCAACAGATAGGGCCTCGTTTCTAATACAACACATTGTCCACAATTAGAATTCTGACAACATTGTGGAATTGAACATTTCATCTTGCAATAAATATAATCATGTTACTATTTTAAACATGTTTTCATGCCAGGTAGAAATAAATTAGTCATACAAAAATCACCATCCTCACCTTTAACATAGAGCAGACACAGTGAAGCACTTTGGTCTATATGATAAGATTATTGAGATGAAAAGCATCTCTTCCCCAAATCCTTCACCCCATGGAGGACACCAAGGAAAGCATGAGTGAGGTACATATCTCTGTTGTAGTTCCTCTAATTGTATTCTGTACGTGGCTGAGAGCAGCATCGAGCAAATTCCTCAGGATCCAGAAGCAAATTTTAAAAAAGGCATGAAAACCCCAAATCATCTTCTCACTTTCTTTTACTGTTAAGCCACAAAACCTTAGATCAGACCTATGTCTGATCTGGGCATTTGGTACATAAGACAGTTCCCACAATCAGTAGCATAGCTCTTGGATTGAGGGCACAAATAGTGTTTCCATTTTTCTGTTCTACACAGCTGAACAGTCATTGACAATTTTTGCCGAAGATTCACACTGTTGTTAGATTTTTTTAAGTACAAAGATCAATAGGAAGCTCTGCTGACATCAGGCAAAAGGTATTATGAAGTGACATCCACTGAGCAATGTATTCACACTTTGTAACTTTTAAAATAACAGAACTGCTTTAGATGAGATGCTTATTTTAAGCCCAAGAGAGCAGAGTGAGTTCCTGTGTTTGCATCGTTAACATTCACAGCAAGGGCAGGCTTGAAGGAGATCGATTAATATACATATATATACACATAAGTGTGTGTAAGTGGATTATTTTGTGCACTGGGTTGAATTTGAATAATTATCATGGCCACCCTCCCGAGGAAGGGAGAGGGCCTGATGGGGCACACCAGCTTTTTAGCAGACACTTTACAAAGCAGTGAAATTTTTCCATCTGATGTACCCGCGTATCAAGATATCAAAGATGATTAAATTACTCAAAAACCAGACTTCTAATTCCATGATTTTAAATTTGATTATCTACTTAAATTAAAATAAATCTGGCTTCTCTAAGGTTGTTCATCGGCACTACATAGCAATATTGAGAGTAAAGGAGGGGAGCCTCTATTTAGTTTTTCAATGATGTTTTTAAAATTCGGTTAAAAATATAAATCTGTAAATTATAAATAACTAATTCAAGCATGCCAGCCACAGAAGATATTGACTTCACCCACTTACAAAATCCTTGTCAAAGGATATTTTTAAGGGTCAGGTACATGAAATAAGATAATTTAGAGTTCTGTGATGGGGAGGAATTTAAAAAATAATAGGCTGCAACAATGCATTCATGTGAATTTACACTCTGGAGAATTTTCTGTAGAATGAGGGACTTGGTCAATTGAGAAAGCAGCTAGTATTAAAATAATAAAATAACCAGCACAGATACCTTGATACAGACATAACAAAAATAAAAACAAGGATCCTGTACAGGTGTAAACAAGCTAAAAATGATGTTGGCAAAATATCCTCATCTATTTAAAAAATACCAAAAGCATGCAACTTAAAATTCCCTCCCTCTTATAAGAATGAACTGAAAACAAAAACAAAAACACAACACGAAACAAAAAACTGAAAAACAGAAGGAACCATCTGTTAATGCCAGTAGAAAATGATAGATTAGGTTCCAAGAGAAATAAAACTTTAAAATATTAATATTGAAAAAATACAATTAAATTTTTATTAAAAATACATACTCCTTACTCATCTTTGTGTACAATATGTTTCGTGTGAAAAAGAAAAACATAAAATAAAATAGGAAAGGCATTAAGACTACCTAATTATTTATACTGTATTTGGTAGAAGCGTGGTTCAATCAAACTTTAAACAAAAATAAGTTATTCTGTTTTCATTTGCTCCCGGATATCAGAAGGCAGAGTTTCAAACAGAGCGTCTTCAACGACTAGGCCAGCTCGCTTCAGAGCCCGGCAGTCTCCCAGTTCAGGAGGGAGGATTTCAAAGTGATTGCCTTTAACATCTAAGTAGGAAAGAAAGAGTAAATTTCCAATTTTCGGTGAAAGAATCGATAGGTTGTTTTTCCCAATCTTCAGAGTTTTCAGTTTCTTGCAGAAATAGAGTTCATCAGGAAGGCTCTCTACTTTGTTACAAGTGATGGAGAAATATTGTAAACTTTGTAGAACTCCGACTTCAGGTGGGATAAATCGAATGTCGTTGTAGGATAAGTCCAAGTAGCGGATTTTGTTGCATAGGAAGAGGTGAGAAGGCAGCACCTCTATCTTGTTGTGACTGAAGGACAGGCGCTCCAGACTGGTGAGCTTCTTTATATGCTCTGGGATGTAGGTGATGCTGTTATGCCACAGTTTGAGCACTGTCAACTTTCTCAAGTGCTGGAAGCTAACAATTTCTTCGATCGACTTCAGATTGTTTTCCTTGAGGTCCAGCTCCTGCAGGCTGAGCAGGCTGAACACGGCGTGCGGGATGCGCTCCAGGTCACAGTGGACCAGCTCCAGCTCTGTCAGGTTGCTCATTTTCTTCAGGTTGTTGAGCATCACCAGCTTGGTGCCGTCGTTATGGATGCACATCTTCTGGAGGTGGCTGGAGACGTCCACCACCGCCTGGGGGATTTTGGAAACGTTACTTTTGATGGAGAGAATTTTAAGGCTTTTGAGATCCCTCAGAGACTCCAGGGTGACGTTCTTGGAAATATCGTGACTTAGAGAGCCAACCAGGTAGAGCTCTTCGAGATTCCGGAGTCCGTACATCCAGGGGGGCAGCTCCCTCATATCATCAAACTTGACGCTCAAGACCTTGAGGTTTTCCTTCAGGAAGGAGAGCGCCGCGCTGTGGATTTTGACCGAGCACTGGTGGAGGGAGAGCTCTTGGAGATTGTCTAGCTGTGCGATGGTGGCTGGTATCATCACGTTCTTAATGATTTCAAGTTTGAGCGACTGCAGCTCTGTGATTTCAAAAACTGTGTCTGGAAGGCCAGAGAGCATGATGAGAGGCAATTCCAGTCGGTTGTGGGCATTTGTCTGGAGCTTCTGCCTCAGCTTATCAGGCGTCCACTCATTATTTAAGTTCAGCTGCTTTAACTTGTTTTCACTCACTTCCGACAGGAACACTGCAAATCTCTTGGAATACAGAGGGTCATACTGATCTATCATATGAAGCATAAAAGCAAAGTCATTTTTCACATCAGGAATATCATCAATTCCAGTCTCCTGCCGGACATACTCAAAAGAATATTCCCGTAGAGACCGATAGAACAGCCAGTATAAGGTATAAAGGCATGTCAACCCATAGATACTTACGAAGCACAGGTAGCAAAAGGAGAGTTTTGAGAATAAGTGTGCCATGGTATGATTGCAAGAAAAGTTTTTATATCCAGTCATGTCCTGAATGTCAACATTACAGTCCACGGTAAATTGGACTTTGGAAACCAGGGCGCTATTATATGCAATGATGATTAGGAATTTTATAACCTTCAGTACAGTCTGACGAACATACATAGCATAGAGTATGTCACCTTCTTCCACGTGTATTCTGAACTTCTTCACCTTCTCAAATAAGGCCTTTGCTTGCTCACCTTCCTTTTTATCCAGAGCCCCTGCCGTGGATTTATCAACTACGAACTTCTCGGGAATTGACTTTAAAGACTGAGAGTTGACCAGGTTGCCCTCTGGACCAGACTGGATAATGTTGGACCTGCTTACATTGTTCTTCCTGTTGTCTTTTTCTTCGGAGTCCTCCCCGGACACTTCAGATAGAGCCCGCGTGGTCCAGGGAGAGTCGAAGCACTTCCCCAGGATTGAGATGAAATGTTCTATTTTGGAGCTGGAGCCAGGGAATTTGAACCAAAAGTTGCTGCAGAGCATGAAGACCAGAGTATGGATGAGGACCAGGTAAGGGAAGTACTTGGCATACCAGTGGAGGGCCCGCTCGTAACACATCTGGTTTATAAAACTGTACTGCTGAAGGTCTAAGTCTGTCTTCAGTCCTTTCATTTCCACAGTGACGGGGTTAGTGGGAGATGGTTTCGTGGGAGGCAGTGAGGTGGTACTGACAACTGCTTGAGAGACATTTGAGACAGAAGAGTGGTTCTGAGAAGGCTGAACTCTTTTCGGAAGGCAGATTATCTTGTCTTGCATGACCTGAAAGACAGAAATAATATCTTCAAATTATATTATTCCAAGAGCTTTCATAATATCATTAGTGTGAAGAAAGCAGCAATAACATCCAATAAAAGTCCATTTCCTTTGTCTGGAGAATGCAACATTCAATTCCAGCACCACAATTTTATTCTTAGCCCACATGTTGGCAAAATGAATTATCTGACTTTGTTCAGCACATCTAAGTTATGACATGAACCAGCAGTTTGGTTAGTACACAGAATAATTCACAATAAAATAAATATTTAAAGATCATTTGTGTATTTTAAAAACTTTGTATTTCTTCTCTCACTGGGCCTGGGAGAATCAGTCACTGGTCTAGGAAGCACATCCCCTTAGCAGACTCAATCTTGAATTGGACGGCTCCCACGGCTATGTGAGCTCATGTATGAGAAGTAAAGGACTGGAAGAAGGAAATATGGAAGAAATTCCTATAATTTCCCTTTTTCTTCCTACCCATTTCCTGGACTGCATACACAATGACTATGAATAGCTTCAGTGGGAATTTAAAACCATTCTTTTCAGAGAGAGAGGAAATTATACAGAATTATTCAATAGTTAATTATGTTTAAACCTGATGGCTTTTCAAAAAACATTCCTCTACTGATACTTCAATTGATTGGAAAAACAACAACAACAACAACAAAACATTAAGCCCTAAGCTAAGACAGCCCAGCAGTTTCATAAGATTGCAGTTTGGGTAAGAGAGAACGCATTCCCTTTGAAGACAAGGCAGTATAAGGGAGCCTATACAATGAACCAACATGGAGGAATCATCCACTGGAAGAAATCCCAGTGGGTAAAACTCTGAATAACAAACAGTTCAGTGGGGGACTACCAAACACAGGACTGCCAATGAGACATGTAGAATTAATAATGCAGGGAAAGTCTGTTGGTTCCCTAAATTGTCAAGTGGTTGGAAATCAATAGTGTTTAGTGACTCTGCAATAGCAAAGTATTAAGTGATTTTCTATCAGCAAAGTTCTTTATACTATTATAGAAGAGAAACTGAAATGTTTGCAAAGAGGATCGCTATAGTATGAGAAACTGGTGGCAGAGGAGGTACAGTCCCCCAGACAGAAGTACAAGGTTTGACGATGGAGCAGAGCATTCAACCCTTAGTAGGGTGCCCAATAACAGGAGACTACCAGCAAACAGTCATTTGGTGAATGGATCTAGAAATCACTGTCACTTGTCCTGCCAGGTCAGGCTGCATAGATCTGGGTAAAGATGGTGATTATAGTGATGATGGCAGCAAACCTGACTCTTGTAAAAATGTGCAACTGGCTCAATTCTAAATATATCAGTTATTAATCTTTTAAATTGTCACCTTAACCTGATAAGCCAGGTACTCTTATATCCCAATTTCAGATTCACATTCACCACCTGGACCCAGAGCCCACATTTTATTTTATGAGTTGAAAGAATTCAACTCGACTCATCCTAAGCAACAAATTGCCTTACACAAATGACTCATGAAAAAGTTTACTTCTTTCCATATCCTATGCAGATGACAAAAGAATGACGTTGGGGGAGAGAGGAAGTTTAACTATAATATTTATAAAAGTGAAGTCCTGAATGATAAAGCAGGGGTCAACCACCTACTGTATAAAACAAAAGAAGGCAGGGAAGAATGGTAAATGTGGTCACGTTCAGAGGTGTGTAGGCTACAGTGGTGTGAGATTGAGCACTGGTCCTCAAACATTTGTACCACTTACCTGTACCAGAGAAAAAAGATGGAGCACACCTCCTCAATATGTATATATCTATTTATAGCTAAATCCATAAAGTACTGTCAACCCCTATGAAAGATGTTAGACCAGTTTAATTCCTTCCCCTTTAAATTTCAAATAAATATAAATCAAAGTTTTTACATATCAGTGGAGTTTCCCTCCTATTTCTTCTGGGTCCAGCCTACCTTGGAAACCCCAGGTGTAGAAAACAGTAGCAGAAAGTCTAGACAAATGCCTAGCTTTCTCAAAGGAAAGTAAAAGAGAAACCAATATGAATTCAGTGTTTGGGGTTATGATGGGGCTGTTTTCCCATTCCTGGTCTCATCTGATGCTCCAACAATCTGTGGAGGAGGGGGAGGGGGAGGGCTAGAGACCAGCAGGGAACAAGCTTCCCTGAGCACATTCTCCGAGAGTGACACCTCTGAGTTAATATGTTAATATGACATTTTAAATGGTGTGGTGCAAATAGAGAACTGTGCGAAAGCAAGATCAGTTAGAAGATAAAAAGACACCTACTTAAGTGCTAAATCCTGCCAAGCAACCTGCTATTGTCCCCTCGCCCAGACTTCCCTAAGGCCTGCTCCTGCTGGTGGAAGATGACAGCCCTCTGGAGCCTGGCTGCTGACGAGGGTTTCAGGCTGTATGCTGTGCCAGGGTGCCCAGCAAAGGGACAAACATGGGCTGGAATCCTGCATGTGCTCCCCATGCTCCGTGACACTGGGGCTTTGTCACACAGCGAGGATGCCTTTTCCCATTCTGCACAAAGGCTCGCGGCTGACCGTATTGCTTGTTTCAGAGGTAGACCATATTCCCCCGAGTCTACAGAAGAAGAAACCACCTGAGGTTCAGAGAACTTTGTGCTCAAGTTCACAAATCTAGGAAGTGGCAGAGCAGGCTGCTGCTCTTCCACCACACACAGTTTTCCCCCAGCTTCTGCTGGGAAGGTTTTGTAGAGAACCTCCCCCTGCAGGAATGTACCACAGATGATCTTCAGAAGTTTCCATCAGCCTCCCGATGCCACATTTCTTTCAATCTTCAATCTATATATATATATTTTTAAAAGTGCCTGCCTAAATCCCAGGATGGGAAAGACAGTGAACTGTATTCCAAAAGATACAAATTACTTAGAAATGAGCACAGTGTAGAGAAAATACTGAGATTTGGTCACTGAGAAACAGAGATGCTTATGCTGTTGAGGGAACATATCACAGGAAGACTCGGCAGGGGACAGAGAAGTTTGAGGAGTGAAAGTCACTGAGGATGTGGTGTCAGGTTGCCTAGTCCAGGACAATGACGAGGAACAGACTAGGTTGGAAGTCTATAAACAGTAAACAGTAGGAAGATTTAAACAGTAAAATGGTTACAGGAGACAGGAAGGAAGTTATACTCTATTTTTAATAGAAACAGTAATTCTGCACACTGCAACGTTGGAAAGAGGCGAAGAGCCAACATGCTGAAAGATCTAGTAAAAAAGAGAAATAAGATAAAAAATAAGGTAGCCAGCCTTCCTTAAAAAAAGGGTTAAGAGAGTTTTTGCAAATAGTAGTAGCCGTAAGGTCTTCAAGGTTTTGTTTGACTTTTCTTGCTCTTTATGAGATGTTTACCTAATTAAACCTGTACCTTGCTTCTGTTTACCTACCCAGTAACTGAAAGATTAGAGGGCAAAACTAGCCTCAAAGAAATGCTACACAACAAATTTCATAGGGATAATCACAGAGAGGCTGCTGCGCAGGCCTAAGGAAAAGTGCTGGGGGGTGGCGGTCCACAGACACTAAGGTTCAAAGCATTACCACAGCTCATGCACACGTCCCCACTAGGGGAATTCTATCATTTTCTTCGAAGTGCAATCTTCAGACTGTCTTTGCAGAAAAGGGCTTGACACTAGAACTATAGGGTGTGTTTGTATAGAGGGGGAGGGAGAAAATAAGAGAAGAGAAATGGAGCAGGGGTAGAAAACTATTTAAAAAGCAAGATGAACAAGAGAATTTGATTAAAATAGAGCAAGCTGCAAAAGTTACTGTCCAAGATGCTGGTCCAAGAATATATATATATATATATATATATGTATATATTTTCTTTTTTTTTTGTTGGACCCTCGCCAGTGGCTGGGGATCGAACTGGTGCTGCAGAAGCTGCAGGCAGCCTCACAACCCAGCGCTCAACCACTGCGCCACCAGGGGAGGCCCTGGTCCAAGAATATTCTTAATGAAATCATCTTTGTTAAGGAAAATCTCTACTAGCTTGGGAGAGAAAACAAGTCACTGAGAGCCAAGGACAGTGAAGCCGGGCAGCAAACTACAGCTGAAGTCCTGCCCCAAACTGGTATAAAGAGGCTTGGAGGTTGGAAGTGGTGAGCCAGCAGAGCAGAGCAGCTAAAATCAAAGAAAACTGGTCAGACAATATGGTAGGAAGGATAGAGCATAAAATATTTATTTTCACTTCTAGGGGGACATACCTTCCAAGTCTTCCCAAACCTTCAATAAAATCTGACACACACACACCTGTTATGAATGGATTTTGGAGGCAATTATAGCAAAAAGGGGCCAAAGTTCATGTTTGGACCAAAGTTGTACAGACAGGGTTTTGCATGGGATGGTTTCCATGGAAACAAATTCTAATCAGAAGGAGCTAATCCTTCCACAAATCTGTCAGAACCTGGAAAGGGGTATGGACTGCAGTTTGACCCAATATCTTCTAAATCTTAAGGAGCAGCTGACATCTAGGTGTATAAAATGTTTTTCAAGCCATCATAGTTAAAGTTCTGGGAGAAATAGTTCCATGACTATGATTATATCTAGGTAATATTTATGGAAAGGAAGTTTAAGGGTTGCAGGGATTGGAAAAATGGACTCAATAAAATTTGCATTCATGAGTTCTCATTTGCAAATCATCCTAAGGGGGGGGGGGACTCAGTTTCCATAATTTTAAGGTCAATGACATAAATGACTTCTTTGCTTTTGCTTTCTGTAAGGGTATAGGGGGTGTGTTTTCTAGAGAAACAAAGCAAACCCTCAAGCTTCTTTAAAAAAGGGGAAACAATCACCAAACAATGCCTAAAATGTCCACATCTAGGAAAAGAAATCAAATTTCTAAATTTATGTAAAATTTCCTGTCAGTGAAGAAATGCATTTTTGAATGGAATATATAGATAATTTATCACTTTTTGAAATCCTTGCATGGCCAATGCACCCTAAGGGCCTTTTAATATTAGTAACTTTACCTATTTTACATTTTTAATGTCCATGGCAG